TATAATTTTTTCCTCTCACCTGTTTCCTGCCGGTTATATTCAGTTGAGCCTGAGCATTCAGGGCCAGATCATTACTTGTCTTTCTGTTAGTCTGTCTGTTCAGTTTTTGCCTTGGTTCATGTCCTGGATCCTGGCGGCCAGTGGAAAGAGGGTTTTTGTGTTTGTCTCGTCTCCTAATCGTCCACTGTTCCTCCCCCGCGGAGTCCTCTGGGTTTTTGGCTCTATATGTGGGGAGGTTCAGTTTTTATCTCAGTTAGCCTGGCTCCAGGGAGGAGACCAGTTTAAAGTCCTGCATCAAGTTCTGGTTCCACGTCCTGTCTCGGCTACCCTCTTCCACTGAGCCTGCTCATCTGCACCTGATCCTGTGTGTGACCACCTGGTCACGCTTTCGGACCCTGTCAGACTCTGAAACCTCCTGGGAGCTTGTTGATGCCTGGAAGTCTGGATCCTGCCACCTGTTTCTGTTCCTGCCTGATCTGGATCCTGTTCCTGTCTGTCCTGGATCCCTGACCAGGATCGGCTTCCAGCATGTCCTCTGGAACTTCAGCACTGGGGACATTCTTGGACTGGACTGCTAAACCAGGTAAGTGGCCAACTCAGAAAATCATCTTCTGTCAGATGATCATGGTCACTTACCTGTGTTTCTCCTGCAGAGTGTCTGTGATTGGGCGGTGCCCCGCCCCCCCTCCTGCAGTGTCCGCGAGCCACAGCTCCCCTTTAGTTTTTGTTTTTGTTTTATTTAATAAAGTTTTTGAACTTTCCTACTGACTGTCTCTCCTTGAATACTGGGTCCATCTGTCCTCGGTTCATGACAATTTCAAGTGCACATTGTCTAATTATCTTATTTTAAGAGTAAAAATACTCATTCCATTGGCAAACTATCAAATTTACCTACTCAAATTAAGAGTAAATACACGTAATTTATGAATCTTTTATTTGTTTCTTGATGTTTTTTTCCGTGTGCAGATTGTGCACTTTAGGATCTGTATTTCCTTATTTTGTTGCTTAACATGTCCAGGCTGCAACTAATAGAACATCTCATCCACTACGGTCATCTACCATCTCCAAACTGCTCTCCCGGGCCTTCGGTGTGAAACCTCTGCAGATGATCCAGAAGGAGGAGCTAGTTGGTTTTTAATGTGCCTAAAATAACACGTCCCACTTCAGTTTTTCTCCAGTGGCTTACTTTAGCCTATATAGTGGTTTAAGAAATGTCTCCCATCTACTGAATTTTATCATTAAGGGTCATGTCATTATCAGAGTTACATAACTAAACGAACCGTATCAATCTATCCATGCCACCACCTGAAATTTCATTTCAATAAAAGACAACTAAGACCTCAGGATGCTGTAAAGAGAATTTAAATAACTTTGAAACCCCCTTCCCCAGTTACAACATCAGAGGAACCTAAAAATACTACTAGGCCAAAAGGGATACAGTCAGTAGTCTACCTTTAAAAAAAAACAAAAAAAGGGGATGGTGGAATAGTATTTTTTTAGAAGCATTCATACCCTAACTAATATAGTCTATTAACCTAAAGCAATATGCATGGCATGGTTGTTACATGTCAGGTACGTTGGTCATTGACCTTGACCGCCGCACCTTACAGTAGAACTGCAGTCAGTCCCTGGACTGGCATGGCTATCATGGCCCCTACATAGTTAGGGACTAATGTCCCACTGGGATCAGCTTCATAGTCATGGCAGGACACTTGTTTCATTTTATTTATTTTGCTCAGGTTACTCATAAGCCCACAGCCGGCCAAATGTTGAAAGGGCAATATTAGTGCCATTACTGATAACATATAGTAGAAATTTAACACATTCAGTAATAAAATATCACAGGGGATGGTATGAGGGATGGTCATTTAAGAAGGGGGATTATTTCTTAAAGAAGGCCCCCCACTCATCCCCCATCAACTCGGGTACTGGATACAGAACTTCTCTATTTAGTTCTGGGTCCCCTATGCTCTCCAACTTATTTAGTAGGCTACCACTTCTGGAAAAATCCAGACTGCGTGACATGAAATTTCTGAAAATATGGGATTAATATTTTGGATGTATTAATGTAGAAAAATATGTTAAATTAAGATATCTGAATATATATGGTCCTAATACTCTGTTATACATATCTCCTGACAATAGATGAGGGTTGAATCATTGATAAACCAAGGAATTTAGAGGTTCTCTTTTAATTTCTGAGATTTAAAGCTCTGCTTGGTGCTTTGCTGACAATGAAACCAGCAGCGAAACCATCGCCCACTTCTGTGAATTAATCCCGTATCCTCCCCTCCATCTTCTGCTCTCTTATGTGAAGAAGGCACTAAAATGCTACAACTACTTGCCCTGACCCTCAGGGAATATTTCACTTTTTTCCAGCTTAGACCCATTTTGTCCAGTTCAGTCAAATTCATTTCATTACACTTAAATCTAATTCAACCACAAAACAAGCCGATATATCATCTTCCCTTATGTTTCTCATCTTTCTTCCATTACCTCCCCCCTACCATTTTCTGATTTCTTTTTACATCCATTCATCATTCTTCCCCATTTCCTTAATTTATTTTTAAGAGGTACCAAACAGGGAGGTCTCACACAGGCTTTCATGAAACAAAAAGTCAGACCTCCCTTCTGTGCCAGCACATAGACTCCCGAGTTTCTGTTAAACTCTTTAAAACCCAAACTTTTACCTGAAAAAAAGACCTACTCGCTCTCCCTGTTTTGTTGACAGTCCTGCTTCCTTCTGCATTACTACTCAAAGAGAGACAAGTGACGAGCTTGCTGACGAGAAAATAATAGAGGTTGTAAAATAAAACGTGGGCAATGTCATGTCCTCCCCCTATGTGCACAGTCTGCAGCAGGAAGAAGTAGCACCTACACTGTTTGACAGCGGCAATAAAAATGAACAAGTTCCAAAGCAGTAAAACTATTTCCTCTCCTCATGGAGGCAGAGCAAAGGGCTGCATGGCAGCATAATCAGACAGCAGACTGACACCAAGTGCATTATGATCAAAACGTTCCCATGCCAAGTGTGTCAGTAAACAGCTGCCTGTTTACAAATCTGTGACGTGTGGAACTGAATTAGTATTCACTTACAGTTGTTTGTAAGTACATCGGTTCATAGCACTTCAACACTTACTTTTCCTGCTTTAATGCTTTACCAGGTATAAAAAGAAACTTCCTAATTTACATCCAGTCCTGTAGAAATGTAGAAATATATTATGACATTTTTCAAAAGTTTATTAAGGAAAACTACCTTAATAATGATAATATTCATCTAGATTTGACTTCATTAAGAGAGTAAGGTGAACTCAAACAGGAAAAATGTTGAGTGAAACATTAAGTACACCTTAACAATCCATTGATGCGGGGAACTGTCAGCAGGAACAATTACTCTTGACAGTTGTTTTCTGTCTCCAAAAGCTGTGAGGGGTACAGTATTTTGATCACTCTTCTTTCCAACGCTACTTGAGTTCACTAAAAATTCTGCACAGCTCTCTGAAGGTCACACATCCAGTCTGGACTTTGAAAGGGCCAAAACTTCCTGCTCCTCATGCAAGGCATTTACATTATTGAAACTTGCTATAGGCCTTTTAAGTCTGCCACCAGCCTGTTGAGCCTCCTACCTGCCTCTTCAGCATGCCACCAGCCTGTTCAGCCAGCCCCCAGCCTGTTCAGTATGTTTCCCGCTTGTTCAGCCAGCCCCCAGCCTGTTCAGTATGTTTCCCGCTTGTTCAGCCAGCCCCCAGCCTGTTCAGTATGCCACAAGCCTGTTCAGCCTAGCACCAACCTGTCAATACTGGACTCAGGCTGTTGAGCCTGCCACTAGCCTGTTGAGTCTGCCACCAGCCTGTTGAGTTCGCCACCAGCCTGTTCAGGCTTCCACTAACCTGTCCAGCCTGTCACCAGCCTGTTCATTACGTCACCAGTCTGTTCAGCCTGTCACCAGCCTGTTCAGTATGCCACCAGCCTCTTGAGTTTGCCACCAGCCTGTTCAGCCTCCCACCAACCAGTTCAGCCTCCCACCAGCCTGTTTAGCCTGCCATCAGCCTGTTCACTCTGTCACTAGCCTGTTAACTCTGCAACCAGCCTATTCAGAATGCCACCAGCCTGTTCAGCCTGCCACCAGCCTGTTAACTCTGCCACCAGCCTATTCAGCCTGCCATCATCCTGTTAACTCTGCCACCAGCCTGTTCAGCATGCCACCAGTCTGTTCAGCGTGCCACCAGACTGTTCAGTATGCCACCAGCCTTTTCTGCCTGCAACCAGCCTCTGCCACCAGCCTGTCAAGTCTGCCACCAGCCTGTCACCAGCCTGTCAAATCTGCCACTGGCTTGTTCAGCCTCCAACCAGCCTGTTAAGTCTGCAACCAGCTTGTTCAGCCTGCCATCCGCCTATGAAAGGAACACTGGCTTTGGTAAACACCTAACTTCCTGCTCTACTAATACATGCCAGGCATTTACATCATATTGGTGAAAAGGGGAACAAAACCTGCAATAACTGCTGGTTATTTAAGGTCATTGCTGAAGTCTTTCAACTCTGGCATGAGGTTAGCCCACACTTCACTGCTACAGGGCAAGAATGGACTAAAGACCTGTTATCAAAGAGCTGTTCAAACTGCTGAGGGTCATTTCAGTTAATCAACACATTTGATCAGCAGCATTGTAACAGGAGGGGTGTACTTCAAGGGATTTTTCAAAGTGGCTCCATCTTTGTTATTGGAAATACAGTAAATAAAGAATGACAAACACTCCAGCTGAAGGAAGGTGTAGTTTCTTGTTTCATAACTGTTTCAAAATTTTAATGAAGTAAATTCAGCTTTTTCTAAGCAGATTAACTTATCTGGGCGTAAAGTTGAGTCTGTTTGTGTTCAATTTGAGGAAATACAACTTTTTTGTGTTGCAGTAGAGAAGATAAAGAGAAGCATATTAAAAATAAAGCAGCGTATGCAGAATGGAGCAGAGGAGGTGGAGGAGGATGGATGAGGTGAGTAATCTTACCATCGTCTCCAGATCCCGATCCAGCATCTGCAGAGAGAACAAACACAGTTATTAACCACAGACTCTCGCAGCCACAAACATTAGCTGAATGAGCGACTGTCTGCATAAGGAAGTGTTTGTCTGGGCCTGCTTGACTGTAAGCTTGTGGTTGCGTGTTTAGAGGACACTGTTGTTGTGGGGAGTGGTTAGGACAGGATGAGATTTCTTTAACAGTCTAGCAGAAAGTAATTCGGCGAGTCGGATTTAAAAGGAAAACACAGTCTGAAATAAGAAGGATGAAGCTGGAATGGAGGACGAGTGGAGGCTGTGAGCTCCAGGGGTCCTCACAGCTCTGCAGAAGCAGCAGGAAGGCACACACTGTTTCCAGCTGCGGCTCTGTTTGTGTGTCAGCGAATCCTTTTCCACGGCTTTCCCACTGAATCTATGTAAAGCCTCACCAATACACTGGGTTTACTCAACGGTTCAACAATACAGCTGTGAAAGGGATACTCAGGAGCACTCGGGAGAGAAGCGTAACCTGATCAGCCTCATAAAGTGATCCGCTAAAATACACAGAGACCAGATGCAGGCGGGTCCTCAGAGGACATGGAGGGGATAATAGCTCATCTTTCTATAAGGACCTGTGTGTGAGATGGGTTTATAAGAAGAGGTGCGCAGAGAGGGATGGTAGGGGTGTCATCAAGGAATCTGAGCAGACCTCTGACACTGATATGAGAATGGCGTAAGATTCGGATCAATAAAATACATTTTTAAACAGGAACACGTCTGTGTTGTGATGATTCTCTGACCATCAGCAGACAGACAGATGTGTCTGGGGAAAAGCTGCCCATTAAGAAAGACAATACCAGAGATGCTGCAAACAGATCAGATTTCAAAGGTTTTAAACTGGCTTTAAAATTAAGGAGGAAAAAAATCAGATTTAAGGTGCTGTAGTTCTAAACTGATGGTTGAGATGGAGCCTCTGTCATAAAGGTAAATATCTGCTAAGACCAACTCTGTTTCTGCAGCATCAGCCCAATTTAACAAGGCAAACAATTCTATCAAATCAATGCGTGATCAGATCATGCAGTTTGCAGGGGTTCAGTGTTTCGTCAGGCAGAAGGAAAAACCCTTTTTGCAGTTTGGTGGTTGTGCTTTTTACGTGAAGGATGCAAGTAAGGAGTGCTTTTCTTTCTGTACTCCTAGGAAGATCATGCTATCTGTTCTGGACTCTCAGAGCATCCTCATTAGGAAGGTATTTTAGCCTAACTAATGAACAAAGTAGTTGCAGTTGATGTATATATGCACTGCATGAATATGTGAGGAGTTTTATGCAGCATGCATTTCTCATTTAGCTCACACTAAATCTGTGGGTTATGTAGCTTTGACTCCTTTATTGTCTCTTCAAGAATGCATGCCTATGGCAATGCTAAATGTTTTCTAACAGAATGTAACTTTCTTTGTCATTCCTGCTGCAGCTGTTTAGATTCAGCCTGTTATTTTTAGACGATAAACGGAATTATTTGTCTAAATCTATGTTGTATAAAACCACTTATACCTAAGTCATCGTCTCCTTTTTTTCAGTTTGATTTCATCAAAGCATCTTTCATAGATTCATTCATTCTAGCTGAGATTAATAAGTATTTTAGAGAAGTTTGAAAAAAAAATGTGCAACAAAAAGCCCTTCGCTGATCCTAGATGATGCAGCAACATTTTTTTTGAGACTTAAAAGAAGGGATTATATTTCTCTAAATTTAGTTTCTCTCTATTGGCTCATTCTTTAATCCGAAATGGATTTCAAATTCTCCTTCTTAAAAATAAAACCTTTTATTTTTCTAATTTCCACGTATTGAATCATTTTCTCTGAGACCTAACGGTTACAGGTTGTTCCTGGACTTTTAAAAGCAGAAAGGGAGGCAGATCTGTGAAACCAGTTCCCTGTTTGAGTTCATGAGAGAACAACCTGACAACATTAAAGACAAACTCACTTTCCTCTTTGATGGAGATCACAGTTAGAGCAACTTTAGTGAATGAGAAAATTTTGGCTTTAAATATTGCATTTTATTTAGAGTTACCTGAAGAGATGTTGAAAATGGACCGTTTTGAATTTCAACATGTCTGGGACTGAAAGCAAATGTGGTTGTATTTGAACTGAACCAGTTAATTTTAATGTAAAGAGCATATAAAACAGATGGAATTAGACTGAAATAGACTCAGCTCTACCCTGTCATTAGAAATTTAAAAGAAAATAAGGTCTCCTTAGAGAGGTGGAAAAAAGGTGGCCCAGTGGGTGGCTCCGTTGTCTTGTAAAAGGTAGGTCTTGGGTTCGAATGCTAGCTACAGGTTTAATGTGTGGCATTTACATTTCACTGGCTACTCCAAAGAAATCCTTTCAGTTCATTTATATAATGCAAATTTACAGCAGATGTTATATCCGGGTTCTTTACAGAGAAAAGTCAGATTGGTTTAACATTTTCTGATTAAATGCCAATTAATGTTTCTGAAGCATAGCCTCTGCAACTGTCAAATCTGTCAAATCTTCTGAAACCGTCAACGCGCACCTCCAAAAAATCCTGACTACTCTGGAAAAAATCTACATCTACATCTACATTCATTCTAATCAAAATGTGTTGCACTGGGAAAAAAATCGAAATCTAGATAAGTCTTTTTTTCTTAAACTAAGTGAATTTGTCCTTAAATTGAGAAGGTAAAAGAGACATTTTGCCAGTGGAACAAGACAATTTGCGTTTAAAATAGGAAAACACAATTGCATTGCTTTATTTCAAGTGCATTTTATCTAAATATCTAATTTTAAGAGTAAAAATACTAATTCCATTGGCAAACTATCTAATTTACCTACTGAAATTAAGTGGAAATACACTTAATTTAAGCCTTTTTTACTTATTTCTAGATCGTTTTTCTAGTGTACAAGTCGTACAATCGCAAACCCGTGCAGACCTCAAGCTGAAGTACGCAGACAAAAAGAAGCTGTGATTGGTCCTTGGTATGCCTTTCCGGCTGTCTGTGTGGTCATCCTTCTGGATTCTTTGCCGGTGTGCGCCATTTTTAAAAAAAACCGAGGAACAACTACAATGGACAACCACAATGAAAGGTTAATCGGTCGTTTTGCCAACTCCATTAACAGAACCTGTTCCTCTTCGATGTCTAGCAATTCTAGATCCATCTCTGTGACCGTGATATCTTGCAGAAGCGTCATTGTTTTTTGCAAGATAAACACTCCCGCCGGCGCCGCCTAAGTTCTCATGACCATCCGCCAAAGTTATCGCGAGCTCTTGAACAGGCTCCCACTTGCGCTTTGGCGGGAAACTGCTGTGCTTCCTTAGAAATTCCAGATAAATGGTGCAGAAGCATACCTGCAAAACTGGTTCACGAACAGACCCAAGCGACATTTGAGGTGTGCCTTTAGGACACCCAGCTGGTTGCATCCAGACGTTTACTTTACAGGATTAGCTCCTCCTGGATGAACATGTGGCGATAGTAAACATTCTGTAGTTGACTATACAGCAATCCCTCACACGGTGCATGCATGCGGCAACGGTGGAGAGAAAGAAACCGGCAGAACCAGGCTGGTCGATTGACGAAAGCAGACACACAAAGGAATATAAATAGAAGAACTGATTGACAAATACTTTCTTAGAAAAGGTAACAGTAAACTATCTCCATAGGTTGCTCTGTTTCAGAGAGACACAGTTAAATAGATGAACTATGAGCCAGTTTTCTGATGGAAAACGGTAAAGAGATCACACAGATTTAGTCACAGTAAACTAAATAACCAGTTAGGTTATTTAGTCTCTTTAAATTGTTCTTAGATATGAATGCATGCATGAATGCTAATTTCTGACTTGTCTCTTGCACAGTGAGCACTCTAGAGTCTGATAGAGGGAAGCAAGAATAGAATTTCTATCCTGACAGAGAAAATTTATGTAAAATCCAACCTGAGTGTAAACTGGAAAAGTTTTAAGATCAAAAATAAAGGACAATCTTCTAAGTGTGTGGGTATTTATTTTTATAACTCAGCTTACGCTGTAGAAAATATCAGCCTCTCCTTGAGTGACTTGATAGAAACTAAAAAGAAAGACAAGAGAAAAGTGAACATTTGGCAGGAATATGTAATAAATTCTCAACTAATGTAAGACAGAGAAGCTGAATCTGCAGTATTGAACTTTATCCCTCTAAGACCAAATAATAACCAAGGTTTTTCTTTTCTTTTAGAAATAACTCAGATGCATAGCTTTAATCACAGATAGAAAAAAAGTTCTTTGAACCTCCTCTGCAAAAGCTCCCTCTTTCATTCTCTTTCAATCTGCAGTATTTTATTGACTTTGGAGCATGTGGGACACTAAGTGTGCAGTGTTTCGTGAAAAGGCTTAGCTTGAAGGATCAGGCTCAAGTCAGAAGGGGCTTGTGTTAAATCAATAAAAACCTTTAGTTGCAGAACAATAGCAGAGGTCTGAGGAGCCAGAGACACAATGCCCAATAAGATGAATAACAGTTTACATTTTTAACTTTCTGACTACCAGACGAGAGGTCGGCGGGGGCAACACCTGTTTTTAATCACAGGAATAAATGGAGAAGAAAAGGAGTGACTCGGTGGAAGAGAGGGCAGGTTTCTCTTTGTTTTCTACCAAATGATGAGAAAATAAAAATAAAAGAAAGCACCTTTTATTTTTAAACGTATATCCATTCATCTCCAGACGCATAAGTTTAGTATTTTTATTAACTTTCTGCAATTTTCTGACTCTCAGAGGTTTATTGTTTGGTCTGCAAAGTGATTCAGATCTTTGCACTGCCTCAGTCTTCCACTCCTGTTGGAAGGAAACAGGAAGACTGTTTCGCTTCACTAGGCTAAAGCTCAACAGTTCCTCGGAGCATTTGATGTGATAGGGAAGAGCTGCCATCCTGGGCTAATCAGCTTCCTCTGAAGCTTTTCCATTCATTGTCTTTAAATCACAACATTTGGCTGAAGGTAACTAGAACAAACATGGCCTTTTCTTCTCATGCCATACAGGTATTTAATAAATGTCACA